GATCTGTTTCCTTTTTCTGGTGTTCTGGATTGCTGCAATGTGTTTGTGTTCATCTGAATAATGTTCTTGCACAGCTTTTCTGGTGGGAGGTTGGGTTGTTACTTTGGTAATGGAGCACTTGGTTAGTGTGGGTTGTTTTTTGATAGAGATGCATTTCTAATTTGCTGTCATTTCCTCTGCTGATGAGGATATGAAGGAAGAGTAGTGTGTTGTTGTTTTCTTCTTCCTTTGTGAATTTCATTCCTTTGAAGATTTGATTGTTTCATGTGTCTTCTCTAGTTGTTCCTTTTTTATTATGACAAAGGTGTTGTCTACATACTGGATCCATACTTTTGGTTGTATGTGTGGGAGTGCTGTAGTTTCTAGACACTGCATTACAGTCTCTGCTATGAGTCCTGAGAGTAGTGATCCCAATGGTGTTCCTCTGATCTGTTGGTATATTTGTCCATCAAACTGGAAATAAGTAGTGAGGCAGAGGTTGGTGAGGTCCATGATTCTGGGTATTTCATTCTTAGTGAATTTGGTTAGGTTGGGTGTGTTGTGTAGTACTGCTGACATGGATTCTTTCGCTAGTTCTGGGTCTATGGATGTAAAAAGTGCTGTGACATCGAATGAAGCCATAATTTTATCTTCATCTATTTTTAGGTCTTTGATTTTCTGGAGGCTCTGTAGTGGGGAATTGATAGAATATTTGCTCCCCTTTGTGAGATGTCCAAGCTTTCTTGCTGTTCTGTTTTTGACAAAGTTTTATCATTGGTGCAGCATGTGGAATGAAGGACTTCTCATGGAAATGACCACATCAGTCCAATTGCCATCACCTTCCTGATCTTTTCCACATGAATTGAGTCTTTGTATCATGGTGGTTAGGAAGCCTGGGGTTTTAGTCCGATTATATTTGGAGAGTCTCAGGTTGGAAAGTCTTAGGTTAGAGAAATAATTTCCTGGGTTTTCATTCATTGAGCTTATTCCACCAGTAAATTGATTTGAGACATTCCAAGCCATAGCTAGACATATTGAAGGTTCTAAAATTATCTGCCATTTGTTTTAAACCATCCATAATGTTTTGTGCAGAATCAGTAATATATTAAGACAGATAAAATGCACGCTGGAAATTTTGTTAGTGATATAGTTTGCATCTGCTAAATATAGGACATAAGCATATTTTTAGATGCCTGTTATGTTAAATTGTTAAATGTTGCTGTTATATTAAATGTTAAAATATTTTAAATATTAAATGGAAAATATGTTTTTTTTGTGAGCCTGTAACAGTTGCTCTAAAAAGTGTGAGGAGGATCAAAGTATTTTGAAACTGTGGGGAATCTTCTATTATAGCCATACTTTATAACTGTCTGGGCTGGAATGACAGCTGCAGTGTTTGTATTTGATTCTTTGACTCCCATGTATATATTACTTAACTCTTGCTTTTTCACTCAATTAGGAAAAGAAATTAATGGAGGATAGAATTGCAGAATGTACTTCACAGCTGGCTGAAGAAGAAGAAAAAGCCAAAAATTTAGCAAAGCTGAAGAACAAACAGGAAATGATGATCACAGATCTGGAAGGTTAGCAGTTTCAAGATTTGCTGTATTGAAGTTAATCTTAGGACAAGCCAAAAGTATCCTAATACTAAGTAACAGAATCAAGCTTTAGCTTCCTACACACACAGTGTAGGAATATGCATGTATTGTTTTATCCAAATCAAAAGATAATCTGCCATGTCAGTCTTGAAACTGTTATTGTGGGACATTTAATTCGATAAGATGTACTCTTAAAGTGACATATTCAGTAGATCCATCCTTCACTATGTATACTAACACAATAACATTCATATTCAAATAATGAAAATTGATGTAATATTACAGAAATAAAAGGCTGCAATAAATCAGTAGATTCCAATATAAATCATAAAGCACCTACCTAAAATTAGCCACTAAATATATTAGAATGCCCCAGCAGCTAAAATGTTCTTCACTTTTCATTGAAAACACCACAGTTGAGAAGCTGCCTTAAATCAGTTGCCTAGCTGCCTAAGTTGAAACAGCTCAGGGGCTTGGGCAAGGGCATTCATTAAGAATGTAAAATTCTATGGCTGGTGTGGGTCTTCTGGCTATGGGGCCGTGTTCTGGAAGTTTTGTTTCCTGCCTGAGGCATGAAAGCTGGCTGGGTGACTTTCAGCTAGTCACTTTCTCTCAGCCCAGCTCATCTCACAGGGTGGTTGTTGTGGGGAAAATAGGAGGAGGAAGGAGTATTAGGTATATTTGCCACGTTGAGTTATTTATAAAAAAAATAATGAGATTAAAAAAATTTTTTGCAGGTAGTTACCCCAGTCGCCTCATTTGTTCCTGCCAATGTGGGGATTACCTTCTTCTCTGCCCTTCTCCCAAGTTGGCTTTTAAAAAAAATAAATAATAATTTAAAAATTATATTATGCTCATACTTAGGATAAATGTTAAATTATGCTAAGAACCTTTCCAGGTCAGAACATACTTTTAAAAATTCATGTATTCTTGTTTTTCTTAGTCCTAGTGTTTATAACCATTCCCTACTGCTCTTGGTACTCTTCTATAAATCATGTTCTGAAAAGAAATATTTCTCAAAATATTTACAGAGTTATGTTTACCATATCAACTGTATATGTAACCCCCTTCTTGGATTTAGATGAACAATAATTTTTTGGCTATGTAGCGCATAACTATGTAGAATTCTAACTTAACTGTTAAACTCCTCATTTCATGGATTTACTGATTTTTGTGTCCTAATTTGGGAATAGTTATCCTGTTAGCCAGTACTGTGAGCAAATGACTTAATTGTAGAAGTATTTCTGTTTAGGACTTCCAGCCAAATAGGCTAAAACTGAATAATGAGGATAACAACTGGCATGAGCCATTCTTTCTAAAAATATAGAAATATACAAAGACCTTAAGCTGGGAATAAACTACCTTACATTCCCTTGCCTAATTATAGGAAATAAAAATAAGAAAGGAATCCATTATTTTTCAGAATGTGATCATTTTTTCCTTTGAAGTATCAAGAAAATCAAAACCAGGAATACAAAAATTTGTCTTCCAGATTCTACTCCAGCTGTTTAATAAGTGGCTTTTCCTAATTCCCATTTCTAGCTTCTTCCTTGAGTTCCTATATTGAAATCCAGAGATTTAAACACAAATATAATGCTACTTTTGGCTTTATTAGGCAAAGAACACCTATCCCCTAACACATGGATACCACATTGTATCCAGACACCTCAATATGTCTTGCAGGAGCCTGAATCTCCAATTTAAAAAGGGGGATTAAAAAAAAAAAACCTTGCGGGACTAAAAAACAAAGGAGCACTATCCTCCTGGTTGGATATTTTCAATATGTTTCTAAGCTTTACTTGGTCATTAATTGGAAAGGAGAAAGGTAACAGGACATGAGTATGCTCTGATACTTTTCAATCACCTGCCAAAATTTGTTGAAAAAAAATAAATAAACCAGACAGAAACTGCTGCCCCATCACTCTTAGGAGACTGGAGAAGGAAATATGCCAGGAGGTGGGGGAAGCAGGAAGGACCTGGGGTCGGGATTGGGCAGGCTTCCAAAGGAAAAGTAAGCTGGTTTTGCTCTTAGCAGAGGATTTTCCTGTTTTTGTGTGTATGTGTTTGGGGAGGAAGAGGAGAGCCTAGGGTGGCAAAAAAGTGTTTCTGTGCTTGGTAGGATGATTTATTGAAAGCATGATCCTAACATGAGGAAATAAAACTGAATTCAAAGATTGGGATTGCGCTTAAAAGGTACAGTATGCATGCCGGGTATTCAAGTTTTATTCTAATTCCCTTCCCACACATTTTTTTGAGCAAATAAGGTTCACTGTGACTAAAAATTCTAGAAACGACCTATTTTGATAATCTCTGCATTGCTTTTTAAAATCCCTCTTAGATAATCCAAATGTGTATTCTGGTATTCTCAATGGGATACCCTTTAGGTATTTTAAACGATTAACCCATCATGACCTATGCTCTGGAATTGTGATAGTTATAGTCCAGTAACCATTAGGAAGATACTGTTCTGAAGAAAGGGAGTATTCATTAACTTCTTCGTTTGGCATTGATGTGACGCTTTATTTCTAAATGTTAAATTAGCAATTTGATTACTTCATTTTAGGTTCATCCTGAGTTTATTTTCACATATTACATTCTTTTGTACAATGCATTCTTTTCTTTTATGACTTGGCACTGGGTTACCTGCAGGATGGCATCTCCCCAATAGACTTGGCCCCATCACTTAGACTGTGCTGGGAGAAACAGCTAGTTGTCCCCCATTTTGGAGAGATGGGGGGAGATGAAGCCCAGAAGCATTATTTTTCTGTGATGGAGGCCAACTCTCTTGAATAGGCCTCCTGCTGGAGGTTCGTTTCTCTGACATTATTTGACTCTTGGAAAAAGTTTAAAACTGAGCTTTTCCAAAGGGCCTTTGGGGTCTGACCCCATGTTTTGGAATTTTTAAAATGTATTTATAAGATTCCTTTTTTGCTTGATATACTTGTGTTTTGATTACTGTTATGTGCTACCAAGAACCTTTTATGATTGCGGCAGAATATACATCTGAGAAATAAATCCTCCATATCATAATTATTTTTTTAAAGAGCGCTTAAAAAAAGAAGAAAAAACTCGCCAAGAGCTAGAAAAAGCTAAAAGGAAACTTGATGGAGAAACCACCGATTTACAAGACCAAATTGCAGAACTGCAAGCCCAAATAGAGGAATTAAAAATCCAACTTGCCAAGAAAGAGGAAGAGCTGCAGGCTGCCCTTGCCAGGTAAAATACTGAGTTCCATTGTGTACAGCTGTGCTGAATATTTCAACAGTAGTATATGACATGATTAAGATTTCTGAATATTTTGCTTCCTGTGTTGCTGTTTGCTTTCAGGATTTACTTCAAAGATAAAAGGACTGCACAGCTTGTGTAGCTGTGCCAGAATAAGTCCAAGGCCTTTTCTGTGACCTCATATTGCCAGTATATTTTTCCTGTATACAGTTCTGTGGAGTAAAACATTTCTGTTGTAGCTGCTATTCTATATTGTTACATGGGATACATGTTAATAAAAATTATTCAAAGCAAAGTTCCTTTCCAGAATCAATAAAGTTGAAATGATTCTTGGCTGTACCTCTTTTGCAGCCAATATTTAAATATTTCCTTTTGTAAATACTGGGCGTTTAAGTTGTGCTTATCTCCAGAACAATTGGCTCAAGTGTTAACAGAAGATGTAAGTCATTGTTTTATCTGATGTAAGTGCCTAGATAAGAGAATGTTTTCTTACAATCAAGGATGTATACTTCCCAATTTATAAGTACAGATAAGCTCTCCGTTTAAGAGACCCCAGTTTAGCAGAGTAGATGTAACAGGCAAAATCAGTGCACACGCTGTGGCTTCTGTACATATATACAATCCCATGTATCAATTCACACTTCTGTAAAATGCATAAAACAAGCATGCCTAAAATCCCATTTAAATGGATATTCTGCTTTAACAAACATCCCTTTCCCCTATTAGTCCCTTAAATCTTTTAGTGCATAACTGGGTCTTTGGACTGAGTGAGTGTGTAACAGTCCATATAAGAGCATGTATTTGACCCTGAGCCTTTTCCAGCACCTTCCTCTTTCAATTTTTTTTTTTTTTTTTGAGGGGAGGAGGAACAACTGTTAAGTGATTTAGATACAGTGTTCTAGAGAGTTGGTGCAGCCCTTTCATTTAACAGATGTGAATAGTTCTAATTTTGAAAATCTAAGAAGTTGAAATATTTTCTTACTAAGAATGTTTAAGTTACTCTGCTCTTATCATACCTTGTTAAGTGTTTTGGAAGCTGCTAGCCTTGAAACCAGAATCTTCATGGCTTGAATCAATGTCTTGTATGTTAGAAACTGAAACACATGTCACTGATTAGCTTTCTTAATTTTTAATTATAAGGCAGTATACTCTTCCATGTAATTTGTGAGTATACTGTTGAACTATTGTTGGAGCAAATGTATCATATCAACGTTTGTTTGAAATGCAATTACTACATGTAAAAATAACCAAAGCATGGCAGATGTTAAATATATAAACATCAGAGGTATTGTTTTGAAACGTTGGATGTGTTCAGAATCATTGCAGTCTTCAGGATATTGGGCTTCGAGTACTATAATTCTAGACTGTAATTTACAAAAGTCTCCTGGTGTCTACTATATTCAGTTGTACTAATTGTGTAATTGTACTAAGTTGTTAGGTACTCATTATTGACTGGGAAATGTGCCCAATGATTTTTTAAAAATACAAATTATTCCAGGTTAGGATGACTTGATTTCACATTTACACTGTATTGTTGGTATGACGCTATCAGTAGTCCTAATTAATACTTCTGTGGAAACATGGGTACCTAGAATGTTTCTTCTCATATGCTGCTTCAAGAATAGGCTTTTTCCCCCCACTTCACTTCACTCTTACTGTTAAACCTGTATTGCTTCCAGAGGGGATGAAGAAGTGATGCAAAAAAACAATGCGCTGAAACTAATCCGGGAACTGCAAGCCCAGATTGCAGAATTGCAAGAGGATCTTGAATCAGAAAAGGCTTCGCGCAATAAGGCAGAGAAGCAGAAGAGAGACCTGAGTGAGGAGTTAGAAGCACTGAAGACAGAGCTGGAAGACACCTTGGACACTACTGCAGCTCAGCAAGAACTCAGGTTAGTGAGGAGAAATGCGGTGGCGACACCAAGAGTCTCCAAAAGGGGCGACCTTCTGTCTTGGTAAACCAAAAGCCTTGGCCATAGCTCCTCCTAGGAATTTCAAGCAAAGCAAATGCCAGTTAAAATTTACATTGAATCAAAACAGGGTTATTAGTCTACATCTCCAAGTTAATGAAAAATGTGAATATGTTTTATTTAAAATTGTCTCCCTTATCATGAAAATCTGTCTTGGGAGAAGGGAATATAGTGAAATGCCCAAAAACGAGATATTTTGCCCAAGCTGGATTCTTCCTACTACTAATTCAGGATGTTGCTGTGGTTTGTATTTTCATTTTCCATTTAAAAATGATAGAAAGCTGAAAGCTGATTTTGTCTTGCTGGCTGTCTCTTAGGACAAAGCGTGAGCAGGAAGTTGCTGAACTGAAGAAAGCACTTGAGGAAGAAACAAAGAATCACGAAGCCCAAATTCAGGATATTAGGCAGAGGCATGCAACAGCCTTGGAAGAGCTCTCAGAACAGCTTGAGCAGGCCAAAAGAGTAAGTGGAACATTCACTTAAACACGAGGAATTTCATATGAATTGGAAAATCCCCATGAATCCTGTGTACGTGTGAAAATCTACTGAAGCAAAGCAGAACATCAGTATAAAAATGACATAATTTGACACTAGCTGCATGCAAAATGTTTCATATTCAAACCATATCAAGTTTGAAGGACCCATTTTGTGTCCAAAGCGGGCTGTTTTGATCGCTTCTTGTTTTGAGACAGTTTTGAGCTCAAAGCACTTTCAAAATTCTGAACTTTAAACATTAATCAAATTTCAGACAGACTTTTGAATTTGAAATAGTTCAAATTTGAAACTCCGCTAGTTAAAACTATCCTTTCAAAATGACTTTTCACCATGGATCTTGCTGCTGTCTCTCTGCTTAATCCTTTATTTATTTCATAGTTTATTTTGCTCAGGACAAATACCAGTCTTTCTAACAGACTGAAACATTCTTGTATTGCACACATACTGCCATTTTTGTTTCCTTGCCACAGAACTCAACAAGCTCTTTTGATTTATAGTCCAGTTTCTGCTGTTTTTCATTGAGTATACTGTGGTAATTGGCATAGTTTGGAGAGAAGTTTCACACATTATAGAGAGGCAAATTCAGATTGACAAGTGCACATCCACAGTTATTTGCAGCTAGCACTGTGTCTCTAAATTATATATCTGAAGGAAAGACCTTTTTTTTTTTTTGGTAATCTACACGCCCATGAAGGCTTCTAGTGAAGTCCCTAGAGACTCTAAATTGGAAACTTTTAATGTGACAAAAGTAGAAAACGATGAAACACATTATTTCATCATCTTAAATTTAAATGTAATTAAATTGATATTTTTTTCGCACCAACCGCTATCTTTTGGAATGCAACACTTGACATACCTCTCAAACTGCCTAGGTGCACTTCTCAGTTGAGAAAAAGCTGCACTATAGAAATTGTTTTCTAGTTGTAATTCTAGAATATTGTTATAAATGTTGAATTATGCTAGCTTTAATCACACACTATTTTAAATTTCAAAACTCCTGAAGCACTAATGATTTTCCGCTGACAAATACTAGCACAGCTTTATAGTTACATTGTAATACGCTGTAAAACCTATTTAGTCTATATGTGAAAAGAGCTAAAATAGTGACAGATGCAAGAACCAAAATATATGTTACCTTAAGTGAAAGTTTAATATGTGGCATCTTGAATGCAATTTATTGTAGCTTGGGTGCAGTACTGTGTTTCTGATGTAGCTCTCATGAAATGCATTAACTGGCTTTCTTGTTCCTTTAGTTCAAGGCAAATCTTGAAAAGAACAAACAGTGTTTGGAAACAGATAACAAAGAGCTGGCCTGTGAGGTGAAAGTTTTGCAGCAGGTTAGATCTGAGTCAGAACACAAGAGGAAGAAGCTAGATGGTCAGGTACAGGAACTACAGGCCAAAGTTGCAGAAGGAGAGAGGCTGAGGACAGAGCTGGCCGAAAAAGCAAACAAACTGCAGGTAAAGATTTAAATTTGCAACTTTTTGGTGTAATATAATAACCTGATTAAAAGTTCATTGGAAAATGAGTTGCTGTGCACATCCTTCTGAAGTCATTTGTTTTGATTACTGCAGATATACTTGAAATGGCAGTTTGTTATTTGAAATGACAGTTTCAGAATTAGGGGAATGCAGGCTGCCAGTGGCAATTTTGTATTGGGAATATTGGAGAGCTAATGCAGATTTTTGGCTTCAGAATGTACGTTCTTTCTTAGCGAGGTTCTTGAAACTTGAAAGCAAATAAAATGGCAAATGGAATTCTTTGTCTCTTGCACTGGAAGAAGGGGGAGTATTTCTGTAGTTCACCACCTTCCCAATATATATTATAATCTGCCTTCTTTCCTGCACCGAAGAAACAACAATGGAGTTTTGAGAAAGCATTTGAAGGAATGAGAGATGAGAATGATGCTACAGTTAGATACACTAGGGAATATCTCAGTTTAACATTATAAAAGTATATTTGCTTGTAAAATATGCACTGTTTTTTGACATACAGATTGTTGTTCATACAGGCTTTTTAAAAATGGAAGAAGTATTCAGAAATGTATATAAATAGTGCTAATTGTACTATTTTGTGAATGACATTTATCACAAATGGTGCACTTCTAATTATATACTGTATTAGCATATATAGTACCAATAAAGATATTGCAGAAGTAAGTCATGATTGCAACAAACTCTGCAGAAACAAACCTATACCAGTGGTAAGCTAACAACAGGAGAACTTAGAAAATGTTCCATAAAACATTTAGGTTTTTCTATAAATATATCACATCTCTAAAGGGTTGTAATATTTTTTCCAAGTATGATTTCCTTTTTTAAAAAGTCATTGCCAGCTTAAGTTTGAAACTGTAACCTTCATAGAATACATGAATTGCAGTGATGCAGAAGGTACTGAAATACTGTACACTAGTCAAACTCAGTTTATTGTAAGTGGAATTAGATTGGAAGCCTTCCATTCTGGAAGTGGTAGGCATACTGTAAATAAAAGATTATTCTGCTTTGTGATGAATTATTTATGGAAAACCTTGCACAGTCTGAAACAAATGAACCTAAAAAGTGAGTGCCTCCAACTGGATAATTATAAAATAGCAGCATAAAAAGGTCTGTTGGTCCCACTTTTAAGGATCAAAACAATGCAGCGAATCTCAGTACTGAGAAATACCATGGAAGAAAACTGAAAATTACAAACTATCATTTTTTATAATGCACTTTCTCAAGTTGAGTCCTGTATTTTTTTATAGAGATTACTGTGTAGCAGTAGATAGCATTTTCAAAGCTTCCCTGAGGTTCTGTAATATTACTGTGGACATCATAGACTTTGTTCTGAAAAACACTTGCCCTGACAGGCTAAATATTGGTATGATATCTAGATTCTCTGAATTTCAGAATGAACTAGACAATGTTTCAAGTCTCCTGGAAGAAGCAGAGAAAAAAGGCATAAAATTTGCCAAAGATGCTGCAAATTTAGACTCTCAACTACAAGATACCCAGGTATATCTGTAATTTTGGAGTGTAGTATTTAAAATACTTATATTTTATGATTGGGCATCTTAACAGATCTCAGGGTAACTAACTGTATGTTTACAAATAATATGCAAATTAAATATATTAAACTGTGTGTAAGGACAGAAATTCAGACTTAAAGTATCAGCAAAGCAGAAGTGGTTCCTTAGTTTGTTGGAAAGCTAATAAGAACAGAGCAAGCCAGGGCTCCATAAGGCTTTTGACCATTACATGTTTCTTAGATATATAGAACTGCTATAGCAGAGAGCTAAAAAACTGCATATTACAGATGTTAGCTTCATGTTTCAGGTAATAGTTTCTTTCTTCTGTTTGATCAACAGTTTTCATCACAGATTTGTCTGGTAATGTGGCTTTCATTAGTCTTTGCTATTTGAGTGATTTCTTAACTTTAATACCTTATTTGCTTTTTAGTTTTTAATTCCCTTCCTATAAAAAAGGGAAGAAATTACTGATTATCTCTATTTTTTTAAGAGGAGTGGATAATGTTTCTAATGTACAGATGGAAAAAAAAGATTCAATTTTTTTATAATAGTTTGATCACAAAATTCCTGACACTTAAAAGTTCTTTATATCATGAGATCTGTATAACACTTTTATGCTCACACTTTCAACCTGCTTTTGAGGGTTATTTAATCTTTGGATAATAATAGGAATAACAATGGCCAGTTCTCTGTTGATAGACTACGAAAATGTAACCAGCTCTGCTGATTTCAAGGTGCTCTTTCATCTTTTCTGTGATTACTGCTATTAAACATATTAATACCATATTATTTGTTGACAATAACTTGCTGTCTGAAGTATTTCCTATTTGACAAGTGACCTTTCTAACTTTGGTACTAGTTTTTAATTAACTGCTTTAAGATCTGGAATGATGTATGATTATCAAATTATAGTATGATGACTTAATGTCTTTAGATCAACCACGATGAACTGTGCTTACCCAGCTTGAGATCTCTTCACAGCAAACAAATATCCTATTGAAAAACAGATGTATTAGACTAAGTTCAAACTTTTTTCAGGCCAAGTAATAAAAAGTGAGTGCATTTTTTATTTCTGTAATAGGAGCTGTTGCAAGAGGAGACCCGCCAGAAACTGAATTTGAGTAGCAGGATTCGGCAGTTGGAAGAAGAGAAGAATAATCTGCAAGAGCAGCAGGAAGAAGAGGAAGAAGCCAGAAAGAATTTGGAGAAGCATGTGATAGCTCTGCAGTCTCAGGTAAGAAGCCATGACATGTACAAGCTATAGCATCATTTTGTACATTTCATTCTGCCCCAGGCTTATCTGAGATCAGTTGAAACTGGAATTGCTTTTCCTTAGTAGTTTCTTACTATTCTTCCAATACAATAGCAATCACAAATCATCTGTGAATTTTTGATAAGGCTGACAAATGACTGTGAATAAATTTTTACAGCATAATCAAGTTAAACCCTTGTTGAAGTTTATCAGTTGGCACGAATAAGTAGAGCAGCTATCCTTCTTGAGAGGTCAAGCTGAGAATCTCACTAGTAATGCAGCATAATATTTGAACTTAAAATTGGGCCTAGTGTGCCCTATATTAGTTAATGTGTGTATGTCTGTATCATTTGAGATGTTCTTTGAGGACTTGAATGTTTGAGTACTTCATCATATCATGAAAATAGATTTTTAAAATATATCTTCCTATATCTTGAAAAGTGACATATTAAAAGGAATTATTCTAGTCTAGTTTTCTGCATAATAGTAGAACTTTTGTATGGATGAATTTTCAGTCAGTGGGCCACCAACTGCATTAATGCAATCCTGACCTGGTTCTAACAGCATAGTGAGAATTAAGCTGTGTTGTGTAGGCATAAAGCTAGTTTGCCAAACACCAGAATTTTATTAAAGCTTTATTTTGCATTGTAGTTAGCTGATGCCAAAAAGAAGGTTGATGATGACCTAGGGACTATTGAAGGGCTGGAGGAGAGTAAGAAGAAACTGTTGAAGGACATGGAAATTCTCAGTCAGCGTTTAGAAGAAAAAGCAATGGCATTTGATAAGTTGGAAAAGACCAAAAACCGTCTTCAGCAAGAGCTGGATGACTTAATGGTGGACCTTGATCATCAACGCCAAATCGTTTCCAACCTGGAGAAGAAGCAAAAGAAATTTGATCAGGTATGCCACTATTTAAATTCTGTTGCTTTCTTCTGGAGGTCACAAGTGGCAGTTCATTATTTCCTGATAAGCCTTTTGTATTTGCAAATACTAAAAGTGTACTCCAGTAAGTTAAGTGTATACCAGGATGGGTGCTTTTCACTGTCTACCTGTGAAGTATGGAATGTGTTAATTCCATAAAAACAGCTCATAAAAACAGATAGGTTTGACCAAGCATTGACCGGTTTGGTAGATTAAGAATAGGTGCACCTCTGTCTGTGCATGGATGCCTCAAAGCAAAGTACTTGATACAGCTGAAATCCAAAATACCAACCTACCACAATAGCTTAGACTTCCACAAGTTTAAGATTGAATGTTGTAAGTATTTCAGATTTTCACGTTTGGCCTATTGCAATGATCAGATGCTGGCAGAAGAAAAGAATATATCTGCTCGATATGCAGAGGAAAGAGACCGTGCTGAAGCTGAGGCACGAGAAAAAGAGACCAAAGCACTGTCTCTGGCACGAGCCCTGGAAGAAGCTTTAGAGGCTAAGGAAGAGATTGAAAGACAAAATAAGCAACTCCGAACAGAAATGGAAGACCTGATGAGCTCCAAAGATGATGTCGGCAAAAATGTGAGTTGCCTAATTATGTTTTGTAGTATCAAAAATAATAAGGTTTAGGAGAAGTATTTTAATAGTGTGTGTGAATCTGGATTTTGAAGTGTTGAGGATAAAATGTTCTGAACAGGTTTCAACAACTCTGTGCATTGTAAACTGCTTGCAACACAAGTGTTTGTCTTGATGTTAAGCATGCATGCATTTGACATTTTTTGTCTTTCACCTTATTCCCAGAGGCCGGGCATAGCCTCAAATTCTTTTCCATTTGAGCGTTTTTGTTTGCATGCTCTCTGAAGGCAGAAAACTGTGACAGCCATTGTAAAGCATTTGTGTATGTGATTTAGTAGCTGCATCTCATCTCATTTTGAGTAAACATAAACAATTTGAATTGTTAGGAGTAGGAATTGTGTTTTCTCTCTCATTTGCATTGGTTCTGTTGCCATTATCAAGATAATATCAAAGGTGGACATATTTTACTTTGTAGGTTCATGAGTTGGAAAAATCTAAGCGCACATTGGAGCAGCAAGTGGAGGAAATGCGAACTCAGTTAGAAGAACTAGAGGATGAGTTGCAAGCCACAGAAGATGCTAAATTGCGCCTGGAAGTGAACATGCAAGCCATGAAAGCACAGTTTGAGAGGGATCTTCAAGCAAGGGATGAGCAGAATGAGGAGAAGAAGAGACTCTTAGTAAAACAAGTAAGACTTTAAGTAATAAAGAATAAGTATATAGTTGGTCAGAGTCTCAGGTGAACTATGTGTGTCCTCCTGATTAGTTAAATCATCATTTGGTTTTATTAAACTTAAAGCTGGTTACTTAGCTACCAGTTTGTTTGAAGCAAAAGATCCCCTGCTACCAAGATGTAGATTAACATTTGTGTTCATTCATTACAGTTAAACATTTCTCCTGTATATGTGTTCATTAGTTCATTCCTTTGAACAAGCAATAATTGAAATCTTCTCCAAATTCCAAATCTTTTACTGTTTACATCTTATTTTACCCAGTTTTGAACAAAACCTTGTTTCGTGTCTTAATTTGTATTAAATCTTAAGTGGCTAGAAATTCTGATAACTATAAATGTCTATGAACTCAATTTTGATGAATTAACATTACAAATGTGTCTTGTAGTCTTTGTGGTATCAGAAATTATCTGAGATAGGATAGGATGGCAAATAGTCTTGAGTCTGGTTCCCTTGATTGCTTTCCTTCTACTAATGGCTTTATGGTACAGATTATGGAAGCAGTAATGGAAGGACTAGTTGGTTTTACAACCATAAACACTGCCAACTGCTAGCCATTCCAATATATCGATTTTTTATTCAGTTCACAGTTGCTGAACATCTCTCCACTTGGCCTACTATGTGTGCGTGTAGTAGCAGCCAACATTTTATAGTTGGAAGGGTGCATTGCACAGATTTGTTTGTTTCTGACTCTTTTCATGCGTTCTGTCCAGCAGGGTTTAAGTTTCTAGTATCTATATCTGAGAATAAAGCCTATGAAACTGGATGGAGTACTTGGTGGGCTGCTGAAGTGGTATCTTCGAGTTTTATAAGCCTATCAACATATAGATGAAGCCTAGGTTAATGTCTTATTTCCATCTTCCCAGGCATTGGTGAAAGCTTTCATTAAAAGCTTTTATTAACAAAAGGGGTTTTTAACTGCATTCGCATTTTAGGTATATTTGTTAGAATGCTTGTGAGAATCTGTTTATATCCAAATCCTACCTGATCTATACACATTAGTAAAATCATGTAGTATATGTCTGTATCTGAGGTGAATTAAGATACATATAATTGTACATGAATTGATAAACACATGTTCACTTTATGTAAACTTGTAAAACAAGTGGGGATTCATGTTTGACCTACAAGTCACATTCTGCTACTGAATTTCTGCTGGAAACTGCTCAAAAACGATATGGTTATGATAGAGAAAATAAAGAACTCATAACATTCTTCATAAAATCTGCACCCAGAAAAAAACATAATCCTGAAAAGAGAGAGGGAGTCATACACACAGCGCATATTATAGGCCTTAAAACATGTTGATAAATTTCAGTGACATGGTGAACCATCTTTAAGGGAGCTGTGGCATGCATTTTGGAGTGCTTGTCAACAGTATTTTGCCTGTCCCTGAAGTAAAATGTGCTCCCCAGCCATATGTGTGACCATTCCTTTTGACTCCAAGGAAGTTCCATGGAAGAGTCTAAGGAAGAATATCTTGTGAGGCACTTCTGAGATCAGGTGAATGGCTTGGGATAGAAAAGACCCTGATGAGACTATAAAGAAAGTGGTCCTGTGTGATGGGGGTGGTGGTTGATTCCTGAGACTTATTTTACATTATATAGTTATTTGAATAGTTCTTAATGTTTCCTTCCCTCATTTCTCTTCCTTACTAAATACAGTGCATTTGGAAAGTATTCAGACTCCCTTCACTTTTTTCAATTTTGTTATGTTGCA